GATAACTCAAAAAAAAAGAAAATTCATACCTTATTTAATAAGACTTCGATTATTTCAAAAACTACTGGATTTGGGTATAGGGAATACCCATATGGATCGAAAGGGCTTAAAAAACTGCATTGGTCACTGTTAAAAAATACAAGGTGATCCATTTAAAATAACAAAGTTTTGAACACTTTAATTTGGCCAAGTTTGTCAGACAATTCTAAACGCCCTGTACATGGATTCTAAAAATACAGTTTAGTTTCATTTAGAAGTGTGTCTAGACATCGTCGATACTCAATTTCAAGCTTCTAGCTGCATTATTAACACAGATATCACAGAAAATACATTCGACTGTTTTTCCAAAAAATATCAAAAAAATTGTAATATCCTAAAAATGGTTCATTTTTGGCATATGGTGTTCTTATCAAAGTCTAGTTAAAAAAGGCCATAGAATTCAAAAATAAAGTTAAAAATGGCACTTTTCATATAAAATAAGGAAGTTGGTGTCAACTTCCGGTATAACCGGAAGTGTAATCAAAATAAAAATATTATAGATCAATTAAAATTATTCAAAAAATACTATAACCAAAATTTTAGATTTTTAAGTCTTTTCATTATTGAGATACTTCTAATGGACGGTTACCGTGAAAAGCCCTGTATAATTAATTGCGTCATTATTATCTATTTAAGTATGTGTCTACGTGGGGTAAGTCACTTTCAAAGGTATGGAATATTGTAGGTAAAGGGTAAGACATTTTTAAAATTCCTTCTACATAAATATGTATGTTTATGGTGGCTATTATTTAAAATTAATAAGACACATGCAGGTTTTCCCAATTTTGAAAAAAATGCAAGGTTATAAAAATTTTACGCCCGACAGATGGCCCTCGCCGTTAATTCGCACAGGGGCTAAACAGCTTTAACAGAAATTTTAGACGTTTTTTTAGTTTTGGCACCCTTGTTAGAGGGCGCAACAATAGTTTATTTGAGGCCAGCGCAACATGACGTATTTCAAACACTAATGGCGTCTTCGTCTTGTATTGATTTGCATCGATTCGTGAATTCTGCATGATTTCTCTTGTAGTGCAAGATGAAGTTAAAACCGAATACTTATTTTTCTATTTACTTCGTTTGTTTTCGAGTGAGTTTAAAGGGCATTGTTATTGCCTGTAAGTTGTATAAGTTTTGTGTATTCTTAGTGAAATAGGAATTGTGTATAGTTAACGTAAATCTTTCGTTTTATTGCTTGGTTTTATAACGCGTAGTGAATTTTTTATAGTGAGTTCTATATGATATCCCCTTTTACTAGGCAACACTCATTAATTTAGTACAACTACCCTTCTTAGAGTGCACTCTAGAACGTCTACGACAGGGCCTAGACAGCCTTATGAGAAATTTTAGACGTTTATTTAGTTTCGGCACTATTGATAGATGGCGCAACAGTAGTTTATTTCCAGGGCCTAGACAGCCTTATGAGAAATTTTCGACGTTCATTTAGTATCGTCGCTATTGACAGATGGCGCAACAGTAGTTAATTTCCAGGGCCTAGACAGCCTTATGAGAAATTTTAGACGTTCATTTAGTTTCGGCGCTATTGATAGATGGCGCAACAGTAGTTTATTTCCAGGCCCAGGACAGCCTTATGAGAAATTTTCGACGTTCAATTTAGTTCGTGCCAATGAGTAGAGATGGCGCGGCAATCGTTTATTTAAGAAACAGCGCAAGCAACCCGCGCAACATGCCGTAGATCATTATTAACGATTTTTGAAAACATGCACTTCGAAGTATTTTGAAATTTGAAATACAACCGAATAAATATTCCTTCCAACTCTTGTTAGTTATCGACTATCGACTATTATAAAAAGTGCTTTGGTATTCGCTGTGAGTTTTATAAATTATTTGTGTAATGTTAACGTGATTCTACCATTCTATTGCTACAAGACTTAGAAATCGTTGCAGCGTCGTCGACCGCCATTTTTCCAAAGCAGATTTCCAATCATTGGAAGTTTTGAAATCAGACAAGATTGCTGTGTGATGCTTTCTTTGCTAGGTAAATAAAATTAACATTAGTACATAATTTAAACCCAAATATCAAAATTTCATTTATATTAACTGCTTATTTTTTGTTACAGAAAATGGAGATTGTTCTATTGGGTTCGATGAGCCACCGATATAAAACGACTGGATTTCTCAGAAAAAAGGTTTGTAAACTAATTATTGTATTGTTAATAGGCCAAAGTCTAAATTATTATTCATAATATGTAGGTTTACATTTAAAATTATGAAGAATTATTTTAATATTGTACTATTTAAGTCGTGTATTGTATTTATATTAATATACATATGTATAGGTATTAATTTACATTGAATTAGTTAATATCTAATTTGAAATCCGCAAATTTGTATGTTTTTTAAATATATTTTTTTTAAAATGAACGTTTTTGTCGTTAATTTATATGTGAAAGTTATTATTTTCGATATTCAATTTCTTGTAAAACTTGTACAATTTATTCTACTATGTCTATATTTAATAATTATATATAATTCTTAAAACGTATAAGAATTTTATATAATTATTAAATATACATAGTTTAATAAATTGTACAAGTTTTACAAGAAATTGGTTATGAGCAAGAAAAAGAAAAAAGTCGAATAGAAAACCAGTATTACACGACTGTGTATATTGAATCATCTCTTTACTATGCAACATCCATTACCGTTTAACCGTTTAATATCTGCCGTTGCTCTCAGGGTGCGCTCTACAACGTCTACGAAATTCTCACGGAGATGTCCCTTCTTGTTTATGTATGTTCTGTGTTTATTTCAGGTCAGCGCAAGCAACCCGCTCAACGCCGTATTTCAAAAACAATAATGGCGTCTTGTATTGATTCGCATCGATTCTGCATATTTTCTCTTGTAGTGCAAGATGAAGTTAAAACCGAAAAGTTATTTTTTTTCATTTATTTCGTTTGTTTTCGAGTGAGTTTAAAGGGCATTGTTATTGCCTGTAAGTTGTATAAGTTTTGTGTATAGTAGTGTTAGTGAATTGTTAGTGAAGAATCGTATAAAGTTAAAGTTAAATCTTTCGTTCTATTGCTTGTTTTTATAGCGCGTAGTGAATATTTCTGGTTCCGCCATAACATTTCGGTTTATTTAGCGATTTTATTAAAATTTAATGAATTTTGTCATTTTTTTTAATATATTTTTAAGTAGAAGTGTTTGAATTAACTGATTTTATGAGAGTAGTTACTTTTTATATTATCCAATTTCTTGTAAAACTTGTACAATTAATTTTACTATATATATATCAAAATTCTATACATTTTTGTAATAATGTAACAAATTGTACAAGTTCTACAAGAAATTGGATAATATTAACGGTCAGAAAAATATCGAATAAAAAACCTATATTACTAATTTTAGTGTAGAGTTCTACCTGATATTCCCTTTTACTAGGCAACATCCATTCATTTAGTACAGCTACTATTCTCAGAGTGCGCTCCTGTCTCGCAACCTGTCTGCAACCTGTCTCGCAGATCCCTCCTGCGGTTTACATGTTTGATATTTATGTAAAATTTATCTAAATATTTTTATATTAATTACTTTATTTTAAAAATTTGTACTTTTAAGGTTAATAATTTTTTAATGAAAATATTGCACCTTTTAAATTATGGTTTTACGAGCACCCTCTTAGAGAATTGGAAGATTTTTAAGGTGTTTACTAGAAAGGCCAAAGGTATTTGAGCCTTTCTTAAAAAACTATTGTATACAGGGTGTGATAAAGTGGTGTAAAGTAGAATTTAAAAAATAATAAATTTCTTCTTGTTATTAAATGGTAGGTACCACCCATTTTTTTTTTTAGAAATCAGCAGTAATATATCCCTAAAATACCCTAAACCTAATTATTTTCAAGTTAATTTTCTTTTTCTGCGGTTATATTACAACATTAATTGTCGATAGAGAACAGGTCAGTGACACGAAAATGAATCAATTTCGGTATTGACTGACACAGGATCAAAATTAGCACGGTGCTAACTCTCTTCTTGCGTTACACAAAACTCAAAAATTTTTTGTATTTATATCAATGCTTGATGATTATTTTGCTAATCCTAATAGTCATAGTTGATCCCAGGTGTTAATACACGGTGTTAATACTAGATCAGTGTTTCGTATAACACGCCTTTAGGTAAATAAATTACTGGTTTATTATTTTCTTCTTATTCGTTCTTTTGCCACTCTGTATTATAGCTTGCAAGCATCTTCAACAGTTTCTAAAAAAATTAAATCATGGGTAAATAAGGTTGTCAAGATTTTTAGATTATATCAAGTATACTTTAAAATGATTAGTGCTAAATTATCTTTGAAAATGTTTAAGTTATTTTTGTTTTAATAAACTATGAAGTAACAATTCCTAGAATAATACTTAATATAATATAATATCTAATATAATATCTAATATTCTCCATAATAAATAGACTTACAATCACGTTCTGAATTCATTTTTATAACAGAAAAATAAAGTTCATGATCATGATGAACATGCCACGTAGTTCAAATTTTGGTTCTAGCGTATTGGACGAATGGGAAGGCTTTAAGGTAAAAATTAAAAAAAAAAAAATTTTAAGCTTAAAATTTTAAGTTAATGTGATTATTTCCTGAAGCTTTTCAAGCAAAGATTCATGTGTAATATCATAAATATATTTTTTAACTATTCCATATTTTCTGTATTCATATGTTCTTACTTTTCATTATAATTATATTTCAATACAGGGTGTTCTCGAACTTATGGCACTAAATTCTGAGGGTGGTAGTTTGCATAATTTGAGACCGATTCGCAGATTTCATTTTTCTAAAAAAATTATAAAAAACAAAATTTGAAATAATAAAAATATTTTAAAGAAATGCGATCCTGTACATAGGTTGAAACCTCTCGACCCCTCTATTTTTTTAGAATCAGGGATAAATTATAAAAGTAAACTGGGTTTTTCAAACAATAGAAGAAAATAAACTTTAAACTCGAAAGGAATATTAGCTCACCTATTTTGTTGTTGAAAGCTGCTTAATTGTTCCAAAACATCTTTATACACTATAACACTATAACGATACTATAATTAACTAAACTAAGACCACTAAGAACTAAAAATAATAAAATAAATCACTAAAGTCTAATCACAAAAATCTATTTAACCCCGATGTTATAACCAAAACAATACAATTCGCACTTCACCTTTTCCAGTTGTATTTCAGAAAGCGTCAATTGAATTTAAGAATAGTCACTTATACAGGGTGTTTCATTGGGAAAGGGCAATATTTTAACCCTATATAGAGGTCACCCAGGGGATCATAAAAAACCCATATACTATGGGTCTTGCGCCCTTTATAACCGAGTTACAGGGTGTTTTTTGAATTTGGCCAATTTCTTTCGACACCTATATCTTTTGAATCACTCAGTATATTTTTTTGATATTTGGCATAGATATTCTATGCCTTAAGGACAATTTATTGCCACATTAAAAAATTTCAAAATCCAGGTCTGGATTTAGAAAAATTAATAAAATTTGACCGACCCTAAAACAACACCTTATACATCATTTGTTTAAAAATTGAATTTCAAATTCAGAAAGAGCATAAAAAACTGAATGTATTCATCAACTTTTTATTTTCCCGCATGCCATTTTTCTACCAAAATTTAAACGTTAAAATGTACATTATGAGATTTTTGGTCCATGTAAATTGTAATTGAAGGGATTTTAATTATTTTTTCCTTAATAAAACCAGATTTACTTAACACTTTCATGGAAATTCCTGAAATAGATCTATTGAACTTGAATTAACATTCACATAAACCAATAAAAAATACAATTAGAGATCCGCACTTAATAAAATTAAAATGATTTCATTTCATTTAATAGTTAATCATTGATTATTCAATTTTTACATTTCTACATGAGAAAACTCAAAACTTAACTAAGTAATTTACTAGATTTTTTAAAAAAGATACTAAAAGTACTCCTTTCCACACTACCAAGAGATAGAACACATTTACCTAGTAAGCACTTTTAAAGAATTAAAAAACAATCGCAATGTTCTTAGAAGATTTATTTGCCACTTGATTAGGAAAGCTAGATTATGTATCAAACAAAATGGAAAACATTTTGAGCAACTGTTAAAATGGCAAATGTTTTTTCTGGTGTTTTTTTTTTGTTGTTTGTTAGTTATCATTTTGTTATTTATAATTAATATTAAATTAGTAGAAAATGATTATTTGGTTAAAAACCAAATTTCTAGTTTCTTTTGTTTTTAGAGTTTTTTTTTGTTAATTTTTTGTTTATTTTTCATAATTTTTATTTATTGTTCCTTTTTGCCAGTTCGTGTGGATTAGGCCTATTGGGGATACCACATTAAAAAACGCGCCTTGTGTTCTACTTCTTGGTGGTGTGGAAAAGAATACTTATTCTAGTATCTTTTTTAAAAAATCTAGTAAATTACTTAGTTAAGTTTTGAGTTTTCTCATGTAGAAATGTAAAAATTGAATAATCAATGATTAACTATTAAATGAAATGAAATCATTTTAATTTTATTAAGTGCGGATCTCTAATTGTATTTTTTATTGGTTTATGTGAATGTTAATTCAAGTTCAATAGATCTATTTCAGGAATTTCCATGAAAGTGTTAAGTAAATCTGGTTTTATTAAGGAAAAAATAATTAAAATCCCTTCAATTACAATTTACATGGACCAAAAATCTCATAATGTACATTTTAACGTTTAAATTTTGGTAGAAAAATGGCATGCGGGAAAATAAAAAGTTGATGAATACATTCAGTTTTTTATGCTCTTTCTGAATTTGAAATTCAATTTTTAAACAAATGATGTATAGGGTGTTGTTTTAGGGTCGGTCAAATTTTATTAATTTTTCTAAATCCAGACCTGGATTTTGAAATTTTTTAATGTGGCAATAAATTGTCCTTAAGGCATAGAATATCTATGCCAAATATCAAAAAAATATACTGAGTGATTCAAAAGATATAGGTGTCGAAAGAAATTGGCCAAATTCAAAAAACACCCTGTAACTCGGTTATAAAGGGCGCAAGACCCATAGTATATGGGTTTTTTATGATCCCCTGGGTGACCTCTATATAGGGTTAAAATATTGCCCTTTCCCAATGAAACACCCTGTATTTCGGAAAGTATCAATTGTATTTCAGAATAGTCAATTTGATTTCAGAAATCATCAATTAAATTTCAGAATAGTCAATTGTATTTAAGAAATTATCATTTGTGTTTCTGAAAGTTCGTTTTTCGGAAATTTTCAAAAGGATTTCATTATTATTTCACAATTATTATTACAATTATTATTAACAAAGAAGAAAAACTCAGTCCACTCCACAATTTATAAGATTTTTTCGAACTTGAAACAACTTCTCTTCGGAATTGAAATATTTTTTTCTGAAATCGAAATTGTTCTTCTGGAATTGATACCTTTATAATTTTGTCTGAAATTGAGATTGAAAAGCTATAGATATTGAAGAATTCCGCAATACAAATGATAATTGCTGAAATGAATTTGATCGTTTTCGAAATCGAACTGACCCAGATAACAATTTAAGCTTGTAGCAAGCTTGCGTTAACCTTGTCACGACACGGTTTGTACCCTTGTTGCAACCCAGGGTGTAAGGTTATAAAAAGGTTTTGACAACCTTCCTAGTCAACATGTTAGAGGCTTGCTTTAAGGTTGTCATGACAAGGTTACTACGAAAAGGTTATGGCAAGCTTTTGAAAACGTTGCGCAAAGCTTATGAAAACCTTGCCACAGCCCTATTAAAAGGTAGCGACAAGCTTATGAAAAGGTTGCATAAATATTATTACTAAAAGCTTATTAAGGCAAGATTATGAAAAGGTTATGACAAGCTTGTGAAAAGGTTATAACAATGTTATAGAAACGCTACGGAAAGCTTTTTTCAAGGTTTTTGAAAAATGTTTATGGCAAGCTTCTGAAAACATTACGACAAGCTTATGGAAAGGCATAAAATATATGAAAAAAATGCAAATATTATATAATTGACATTTATTTTAATAAAATATGTATACAAATATAATCACTGTGTCCCGGATATGGATGAACAGCCATACCAAACATATTTTTTGACGGGCCTCCCTGTAAAAGAAAAAAAAATTAATGTGCTTATAATAATTGAAAAAATTAATATACTCACTATTATAGTCCATTTGTTTAAAAATGAAATTGAAAAAATACTAAAATGTCCTTTCATAATCCCAACAAACATCTGTCAATTTGTGAAATGTCAGGCAAACCCGGGCGAACCCATCAAGTGTGGCCATGTGTTTTCAGTATTTCTTGGTACTCCGCTATTCTTTAGAATTTATGAGGGCATTGTGAAATTTTTAAAGTGTTCGAAAAGCTGTAATAAATAGTTGAGTAAAATAATTGTAAAAAAACTTAACAGTTAATTTGTAAATTGCAAGTCTAAAAAACCTAGGAGTCGAGCGAAGTTGTTTGGCTAAACATTCATCAAATTTGATTCTTCATCATGAATTTAATCGAATGAATTAATGATAACTTTTCGTCTGGAATTATTCTGTTCATCACTAAATTTTTTCATTTATATCCTTATGGAATCCTGTCTAATGCATCGGTCTTTGGGACATTTTATTGAACGGTCTTCAAGTGATACCTATGAATAAACATTCTATTAATAATTACATAAGGCATAGATGATACATCGAAATATAAAGAAATAATAAATATTTGACTTACCTTTGAAAAATGAAAGTAGGTTAAAAAAACACGTTGAAAAATAACAGCAGCAAATTTTAAGAGCGAACATTTACAAAAGGCAATAGCGTCAGCAATGCTGGTAGAGAAAGTCGAGTACCGAAGGCACAAAAATTAGAAACCCAACCCAACCAACCCCCTACCCTTTACATCGAGTAGCGATTAGACAAAATAAAACTTCATAGGAAATTATCGGATTGAATAAAAAATGTCTTAAAATAATTAAAAAAAAATATTTTTACTTTTTGTAGTATGTAGGTACTCCAAATGTACGCCTTTTCATAGATGTATGTTGTGTAGTGTAATCTTTCCACAAGCTTATTAGTTTAACTTTTTCCCATGATTTTTGCATATTGCAAAATTAGCTATAAATCTTTTAGTATAATTTATAAGTAAACTTTAAAATAATCTTAAATATAAAACTTATAAAAACGTGGTAACCGCAAGCCTATATTACGCAATAACCTTGCAATAACATTATTAAAAGCTTCTCATGTAAAGCTTGTCACGATGAGAAAATGACAACTTTATAAAGTTGTCAGAACAACCTTGCAATAACATTATTAAAAGCTTGTCACGAAAACCTTATTCCGACAATGCTATGACAATTGTATAAGGTTGTCAAAACAACCTTACTCTAACCTTTTTATAAGCTTGTCTTGCAAAGCTTGTCATGACAAGGACATGACAAGTACATGACAACCTTGTCACAAGCTTACGTGTTATCTGGGGACTAGTCTCAGTAATACAATTGATGGTTTCTGAAATCAAATTGATTATTCTGAAATGCAATTGATGCTTTCTGAAATCGAAATGACTTTTCTGAAATACAATCGATATTTTCCGAAATATAAGTGACTATTCTGAAATTCAATTGACACATTCTTAAATAAACCAGACGCTTTCTGAAATATAGTTGGAAATGGTGTAGAAAACGATCGGTATCGTTTTTCTAAAATTGGAGGGCGGAGGGGGAAATTTGTGTTCGCTGATAAAATACACCGAATCTGTTTTTTGAGTTAAATTTCGATCAGTTGACTATTCAGGCCAGGGTTGTATTCGCTCTTTGCATTTATTTCTAATGGCTCTATTTTGTTTATTATAATTTTTTTAGAAAAATTAAACCTGCGAATCGGTCTCAAATTATGTAAACTGACACCCATATAATGTAGTGCCATAAGTTCGAGAACACCCTGTATACTTCTAAAACCTATAATAGTTTGCATTTTTGCATTGTGAATGTTTACAATAATCTGATTTTCACATTTTGACCTTGCCCAATGAACAGTTTGGTAACTGTTATACATCATACAGAGTGAGTTTTTTCGATGAGTACAGGTATGTCGGAAACTATAGGAGATAGAAAAAAGTTTAGATGGATGAAGGGTGGAGATTAGGAGATAAGTAAGTTTAAATGGCAAACATTTGCAGTTTTATGAGATATGTTATCAACCACTTTCAACTTTGCAAAATGCGACATCTGTCAAAAGATATTTAAGAAAAATCACGGTTGTATAATAAGAACAGGTCGGGCAACTCCTATGCGACTCTCGACAGAGGGCGCTAGTATCGGGTAGTGTTATTTAATCGGATGCACATAAGGTCAATTTTTCTTCATTCCACTATTTTATCTTTCAAATATCATTTTTATTTAATTTACGACAAATTTCATTTAATTTGACAATAATGCCATATTCGTGCATCGTACCGATGTGAATTGAGAACCCTACTCGACACTAGCGTTCCAAGCGGATCACAGCCAACTATCACAAAATAAGCAGAGTTTCCAGATCTTAATCCAGACCTACGGCCGTGAGAAAAACTGTTTCCTGTCAAATATATAAATCGGTTATATTTCTGTAACTATTCGTTATAAGAGAAAATGTTAATTACAAAAGTTGTAAAAAATTTCATTCTTGGTAAAATGATATTAGCCATTTCGTAATAGCTATTGTTTTTTCAATAAACCAGATACTTGGACTGTACTAAATATCGAGAAAAACTCACCCTGTATATTAAATTATGAGTATATTAATAATAAAGATTGTTAAAATAACAGTATTTAGAGTGAAAAAGCTGCAACAATCCCCCACAATGCATTTTTTCTTTTTCCTTAATTTCAGACTAATGGAAATTGTCTTTGTTGCACTTATAGGCATATTGCGTATACATTTTCAATTAACTGTAGGTAAAACCATATTCTAAGCTCACTCAGTAGTGCATGCTCCCTATAAGAGAAGTAAAAATAGAATCCGATATCGGTATTCATAATATATCAGTTATCTTTACAATCCTTTTTGTATAATGGACCAAAACAATTTCATGAATTCACCAGAAGAAGTTGTTTAAAAATTTCCAATTTGTTTCAAATGCAACCTTTATAGGACCAGCTATTAAAGCTCTTTAAGGGCTCTTTTTAGTTTAAATTGTTTCCATTACCAAAAAAATTACTAAATGTTTTACCATAATTTTAAGAGCCAACACAACAAATTGTACAAAAATATAGAAGACGAGAACTTACATTTTGGAATATTCCAAGAGACGTTAAAGAAAATTGAAGATCACAATGCAAATTATAGAGCAGGTTTGACCAGCTATTTGATGGGAGTCAATAAATTTTCTGATTTGACACCGGAAGAATTTAGCAAATTTCTCGGACTCAACAGTTGCGAAAACTTACTCGGAAATAGTCTCGGTGAAAATCGAAGCATCAGATTCGAAGAACACATTAGCTCTACTGATCGAACTCTACCTGACAGAATTGATTGGAGACAGAAAGAAGCCGTTTTAAGAGTTAAGACTCAGGTAGACAAAACTTGCTGGGCATTTGCTGCTGTAAGTAATACATGCATTATACAGGGTGATTCATTCCGAAACGAAAAGAATTTAACCCAATATAGAGGTCACCCAGGGGATCACAAAAAACCCATATAGTATGGGTTTTACGCTCTTTATAATCGAGTTTTTTTAATTTGGCCCATTTCTTTCAGGGCTTGTAACTTTTGAATCACTCAGTATAATCATTTCATATTTTCCACAGATTATCTACGCCTTTAGAATAATTTATCGACCCACTAAAAAATTTCAAAATCCAGGCCCGGCTTAATAAAAATTATTAAAGTTTGACTGTCCCTAAAACAACACCGTGTACATATATACAGGGCTTTTCACGGTAACCGTCCATTAGAAGTATCTTAATAATGAAAAGACTTAAATATCTGAAATTTTGTTGGTTATAGTATTTTTTGGATAATTTGAATTGATCTAAAATATTTTCATTTTGATTACACTTCCGGTTATACCGGAATTTGACACCAATTTCGTTATTTTATATGGAAACTGCCATTTTTAACTTCATTTTTGAATTCTATGGTCTTTTTTAACTAGACTTTGATAATAATACCATATACCAAAAATGCACCAGTTTTATTGTATGAATGTATTTTCTATGATATCTGAGTATCGATGATGTACTACTAAATGAAACTGAACTGTATTTTTAGAATCCATGTACAGGGCGTTTAAAATTGACTGACAAACATGGCCAATTTAAAGTGGTCATAACTTTATTATTTCAAATGGATCACCCTGTATTTTTTAACAGTGACAAATTCAGTTTTTTAAGCCCTTTCGATCCATATGGGTATTCCCTATACCCAAATCCAGTAGTTTTTGAAATAGTCGAAGTTTTATTAAATAAGGTGTAAATTTCCTTTTTTTTTGAGTTATCTAGTTGGCCATTTGATGGCCTTAATTTCTAGACTGGAGCTTTCGAAGGACAAAACGCCATCATACATGGAAAAAAAATACCTTTGAGTGAACAAGAACTCATAGATAATTGTCTAAGTTATGGTTCTAGTAGAAGAAATGGTGGTGATTTGATACATGCCTACCAGTACGTGTTTCATTATGGAATACAATCCGAAGAAAGTTATATAAATAAGCAACAGGAAGAACCCGTTTTACACATTGAAGGATATAAGACAGTTAAAGATACAGTTAAAGATCTAAAAGATGCAGTCGGTACGATATATTCATCGAGGTAAAAAATACAATCGTTGTATTTATAATGTTCTTTGTTTCAGCTTTTGTTGGACCAGTCGCTGTCGCAATGTTCGCTGATGAAAATACATTTAAACATTATGGAACAGAGTTTTGGGATCTTTACTATAACCCCGATGTAAAGTTGAACCATGCAGTACTAATCGTAGGTTATGACCAAGAGCCAAAACCGCACTGGATTGTCAAAAATTCTTGGGGTGCCGATTGGGGAGACAACGGCTATTTCAAAGCCAATATAGGGACTGATTCAACCAACTTTGCTCGTTTTGGAACTTATCCAATTATTAAATAAAATGTGAGAAGATATTATGTATAAATATTAATTTTTACGTTTATATACTGAGTGTGTATAGTTTGGAACAAATTCGTTAAATGCTTGATTTGTCCATTGAAGTTATTGTCATATCTCTTATTTGGGACATCCTGTATAAACACTCTCAACCTTTTCAATTAGACACTTATAAATGAAAAAGAAAGAGTAATATTATGTCATTGCAACTTTTCACTATGACCACTGTTATTTTAATAATCTTTCTTTGTTAACTCATAGAAATGCCCATGTTGCAATCGCTAATGAAGCACGGTGTAAAAATATGAATATATGAACAATATACAGGGTGTTCCATCTCAGACGAACCACCCCGTATATTTTTTATACCATAGTGATTGGAAAAATTTGGGGGACATCTTTTGACGTTTTCTGAGGCTTAAACGAGCAACTCCCTGAGAAGGGGGCGCTTCAACCCCTCAAAATTGAATAGAGGAGATGGATCTAGTGATACTTCATTTGAAAGGTCTTGGAAGCCTCTTTATAACGGTGTATGAGATTTAATTTTTTTGATTGCAAGCATGATAAAACAATTCAATGTTTTTAAAAAATTTTATTTTTGTGCAGTATTAATAATAGAATAGGAATACCATAGAATAGGAACTACAAAATGAAATGGCTATACGATGACAGGCGTATAGAATGATATAAGATGAACTATGTAATTAAGATTTTTTTGTTTTAGATTAGGTTGTTGAGGACAACAACAAGTCAGGATGGCCGTGCAGTATTAATAATAGAATAGGAACTACTAGAATAGAAACACCATAGAATAGGATACGCCACTGCCATTCCAACCTCCGAGACATACACGCGTTATTATAAACATTATACTATAACCGTTATATATATATACCGTATAAAACGTTATTATAAACATTATTATAAACAAGGGACGGGGACATTATCTTTTTAACTGTTGAATATAGGACACTTAAATATTTAGATCACTATTTCTCTTTTCTTTTTTCTTTTTATATTAGTGTATTAAGTCTAAGGTATATTAAATTGTTATTGGAACATTTGAACTTTTACTACATTTGTAAAAAGCCTTTAAAAAATGGGCTTGTACGTTGTAAAAATAACCAAAATATTTTGGAGGTTCCGCCGATAAAGGAATCGGCGAAGCACGAATTGAACACCACGAAGTAAAGAGCTAGTCGCACAAATTCGTGTCAATTCCTGACATGGTGGAGGCTCCGAGTTTTTTTTGAGAGAATACGTACTTTTTTATTCTATTTGAGTACCTTCAGGGGATAAAAAATCAAGGAAAGAAACCAATTAAAAAATTTACTTTTTACAATCGAATTTATTTTATTACAGTTACAAGTATTCCTAGTACCTCATTTATATATATTTTTGCTGAATAAGCGTTTTACAAAGTTCACATAAAAGTAACATGATGAGTAGGCATTAGCCTCTCATTTAGAATTAGATCAAATTTACATCGTATTACAGAACGCTGAAATTACAAAAAATAATTGAAATACAGGGTGTTTACACAAATATTTCGACCGCAAAAAATTGTACGGCGTTGTATTAATGTCACGGCCAGTGACCAAGGCTGAAATAAGGAGGAGAGGTGTCGAAGTTGAAATAGTGGAATCTTTCACCCGCCTCTCAATAGACGCCCAAGAAGGTGTCCAGGACCCCTTCGCTAGCTCTTTCTTAGTAAGGAGATTACCCCTCCCCCACCCACAGGCAGTGAAGCAGCTGGGGAGGAATCAGTCAGGACGTCGGGAAATTCTTCCGGAGGAGAAGAAGAAGAAGGAGCATCGTACTCGAGGATACCCCTACGAGAAAGTGTAGACGACGCACCTACATCTAGGGAGGATACACCCCATAAGAAAAGGGAGGAAGTAGTCCTAAGAGGAAGGGCACCGGAAACCATTGATCGCGACATCCAGTTTATAACCATGGAAAGGAGAATGGCAGATGTTACGATCGCCTAGGCCCTCCAGGTGGACCAGAAGCCTGCGAGACCTCAATTTATCTCCCCACCGACATTTGACCCAAGCACGGGAAATGTCAGAAACTTTTTGATCAGCTACGAGAGGACGGCGATTGCCAATGACTGGAATAACGGATTGAAGATCCTATATCTAGAATCATTTTTAGAGGGTGAGGCCAACATTTGGTACACCCAATATACAAGACAGCGCGGATACGAAAATAAAACCTGGGCTGAGGTAAAAGGGGACTTCCAACAGGAGTTCCACGAAGGCGATTCGCGGAACCAGCTGGAAATGCGTCTGCTCGAGAGGAAGCAGAGAAAGGGCGAACCGATCAAGTCGTACTTTTACGACTTGAAAACCCTATATTACGAATTCGAGCCAATACTGAGCGTGGAGGGATTCAAGAAATTCTTCGAGAACGGGTTGGACCCCGAATTATACCCGACCTATAGGCTGCTTTGTCCGGAAAACATGTCAATGGAGAAGCTAAAGGAGATCGTCTTAGCAATCCAAGATATAACAGCGAGCAGAGCGCTACTCGTCAACCAGCCGGGGGCTTTCGGGTGCGTTCAAGCCTAAGGAGGAATTGGCCTTCGTAACGGAGGAAAGGAGAGGGGGCAACAAGGAACAAACCAACCCTCCCGGCAATGGACCATGAAGAAACCCCCGCAATCGATACAATAGGGGATGGTTCTACCCCCACCAGTTCGGCCAAGGGATGTACACGCAGTCCCCGTTCATCCTGCCGCAGATGTACTACCTTTCGTTTGGCTACCCCCAAACCTCCCCACAGGCGAAGCAACCCCCTCGCCAGAATGAGGCAAAAACGCACCCTTCCTCAAGAAAAAACCAGGGAAGACAAACAGGTCAACAGAGGCCAAAAAACAAGAACGGCTGATGGACGTCCGGTATGCTTTAATGGGCTCATTCGATAAAATTTAGAATTTGATCAAACTTTATATACATATAGAACAGGTAAAAAAAATGGTTACTGAAAGTTTCAAGTTGATCCGATCAGCGGTTCTTTGATTATTCGAGTTTAAAGATGCGATTATTTGGCTCCGCGATAATACGATGATGACGTCACTGCATGCGATCTCTCCGCTGTCCGCTTCGCATTCACTTAACTTGCATTGCATTCGCGATCGTTTCGTCTTTTTAACGACTATGTTTAATTGATTATATAAGGTAATTGTAACGTTCTAAAATCTCCCCACAATAATCATTGATTCTATTACACATTTTAAATTCACTAATTGATTGTATTGAAGATTTGTTTACCTTCTGGAATAACTAAGGTTAATTATTCTACGAGTACGTTCGTTTGTCCAACAATAAATTCTTCTGTTTATTGTTATTGACATTTGTCTTTGTGTTCTTGACGAGTTAGTGTTCTGAGTAATTGACACTTCTAAAGGGTTATTTAGGTTGTTCCGTGGTTCCGCTGGTTCCATTTTGATTTTGGTCTTCGAGGCGGACAGACTCGTGGTATTACATTTTTAGTAATCGGGAAACATCTCGGATTTTCTACGGTCTGTCTGAAAATATTTAACTTCGTTAGTTGTTTGGAGCCTTGTGCTATTTGATTTGCCGTGTATTTTTGGCGTTAACGTAAGTTAAATCCGTTATTCGGGATCTATATCCTCTTGACCAAATCAACCACGTTTCGATCCCCGACTTAGAACACTAGGGGTAAGTCTTGTCTTCCTTCCTGTTGCAATCGTTAATTGTGTGTTTCTTAGGATCAGTTTTTATTACTACTATTATTTTGAGTTGGATTTTCCAATCCGTATTTCCTTGGATCTTCCGTGAGGTTATTCGTATTTAACTGTCTTCTGATTGAACTGGGACCGATTCCTGCGTCACTTTGACCGCCTGTAGTTGCGACCGATAGCTGATTCGACAAGGTTCACCTGTTGTCCCGAGTATCTGCACTCTTATGTGACACCCAGTTGTTAAATTCATCTTCACGTATAGTATCAATTTTATTATCGTTAAATTCATATTCTAATTCAGTACGATAGTTAATTAATTTTCTTTTGTTAATAACGAAAATTCGACTCGCCTTTACCGTTTAGTAATTACTCTGTGAATTATAGACATTCCTTTGGATCTGGACCCCAACTAATCGATCAATTGGAGGACCCAGCTGTATCGCTATAGTATATTGACTTCGCAGAACTTCGTTTTACTTTGAACCATCCGGTTGACCGGATCACCATCGGTAAGTCGAATTTGATTTATACCGTGACTGCTATCTCGTACTGTTTGGAATTTCTTAATAACTGTCTTTCTATTTCTTAGTTTTCTCTTAATATTTTTTTGTATTGTATTCTATTATTTCTTTCGCTATTGTATTAAATTGAATACCTATAGAGTTACTAAAAGTGTGTACTATCAATTCCTTGTTAAGTTGGGAGTTGATATAAGATTATATTGTTAAGGGCACTTGGTCAACTTAACTGGCGCCCGTTTTATATCTAAATATCATTTAATTTTGACTCACTCCCGTCTCATCTGAGTGTAGCCGCGTGCCCGGATGTTCAAGTCATCCACCTAAGTAACGAAATATATATTTACCGTTTTATTTTTGTAGTTTTATTGAAGGGGTAAAATTTTAACGTTACATTTTGGCGCCCAACGTGGGGCGAAATGCGAAAGAAATAAGAAGAATAAGAAATTCCGAACATTTATTATTTTATTAGGTTAGCTGATACTATTTTGAATTGTTTTATATTTGAACTTTTTGGAAATATTTGATTATATATTGAACCGTGATTTTTGGGGCTTGATCCTACCCCTTATCTGGAATTGTTTGTGCTGCAAATTTATTGAATTATATCGGTATTGTCGTTGTGAATTTCACTGGTTTTAAAGATGTCCCGAAAAATGTGGGTGAATCGTTTAGATAAGGATGAGTTAATTTGGGAGTTACAACTCCGAGGTGTCCAAATTGGGACAATTGACGAAATGCGTTCTACTCTTTCGGCAGCCCTCAGACTAGAGAAG